CTCTCTCTCTCTCTCTCTCTCTCTCTCTCTCTCTCTCTGTCTCTCTGTCTCTCTCTCTCATCTGGGCCTCACCATGGTCTAACCTCTCTGCCAGGCTCAACCTTTGCAGATAAAGACCGAGCTAAGAGGGAGAAGGTGTCCACGTCGGGTAGAGGAGAGGCAAGGCTCGGAGCGAAGTGGGACCGGCAGTGACAGCTCTCGCCCACCCTGAGCGCCCCTGGACCTGACTGCTGCACCTTGGCCTCCCTCGGTCCTGCTGTCCCAGCTCCAGCCTGTGCGAGAGTCGGGCCATTCTCGTCCTCGGAACCTGCCTCCTGTGCTCCAGCGACCATCTCCTCCTAGAAACCCCCGTGTTCCCGTCACAAGTTCTACAGCAGTTACATTTATGGGACTCATTGTTCCCCATTTATTACACTTGTAACTTCAACTCCTCTGGCCCTTTGTCCCCACAAGCTGGCTCTCATTTGTGTCAGACCCCATGTCCTGTGTTAAGGATCAAAAGAGCCCCACCACGCAGTTCAGCCCCTGCTGTCTCCCTTGGGACTGGTCCGTCTTCCCAAACGAGGCTCTGCGTTCCTGGCAAACACTGTGTGTTTCACTCCTCTCAGTTCTCTCTCGATGCCCAGGGTCTAAGTCGACACTGGCCGGCCAGCTGACTGACAGCGGCTCCCAAGCCCTGATGAGATGTGCTTCCCGTCTATTGGCCCCTGGCCCATTCTGACGGCCAAAGCTCCCCAGAATTTACCTGTACCCAACGGCTCCATCGTAGACAGAATCGTTCAGGTAAACGACGGAACCCCCGGGGAGCACAAACTGCTGTCCGGCGGGAGCACTGTACGACACCAAGCCATCTGCCCAAGGAAACAGGCTGGTCAGCGCGTCGCTGGGACCACCCACCCAGGAAGCCGCCCGAGGCTCCCGCTGTGCCCTCTCGCGCAGCGTGTCCACCAGGCTCAGGCTGGGCACACAGGAGCACGGCTGGGAGCGGGCCGCAGGAGCAGTCGGGGAGAGACTGGCACACACGGCCCGCGGGGAGGAGGCGTGGTCCTCGTATGCTGCGTTCCAGGGACGAGGGACCCCACCCGCTCTGATTTGCTGCTCTCATCTCCCCGGGGCCACAGCCCCCCCCCGCCCCCCGAGAGACCTACCCAGCCAGACGCAGCCGTACAGCTCCACCCTCATGCACACGTTCATGGAGTGGTCAGTGACCGGGATGAAGCGGACGAATCTGGCCACGATGGGCGGCTCCAGGTCCTTGAGGAAAATGTCATAGGGGTTACTGTTCCCATCCAGCACCTGCAGAGACAGAAGGGGAGAAGTGGGCGAGGCTACGAAGTTACACTGACTCTCGTCACCCCCGTCGTCCCGTGATGGGCCCTCTGTTTTCACGCAAGGGCAGCTCTGAAGGTAGCACTCGGCTTTCTGGTGGCCTTGGCACCCCTCTCTGTGCCCACCGTCCCCGGCCTGGGTCACACACTTACAGGGCGGCCGGGCCTGTGGACACCGCTGCAGACAACCCGCGCGCTTCTCTGCGAGGACGCCCTGGCTTCCTACCTGTCTCCCGTGCCGGTTCCGCCAGGAGATCCAGCGCGTGCCGTCCCGACTGTAGGTGATCTTGTACATGGGGGCGAACTCAATGCCATGGCCCCCCGCATGGCGGCCCTGGGTCCCCACCAGGGTGATGAAGTGGAGGGTGTGCAGGTCAACCTGCAGAAACTCCTTCAGGTCACCTGGCTCCACGGGAATCTTGGGACACCAGGCCCCGTCCCCTTCCTCCGAGTCCAGCCTTGAGACGGGGGTTAAGGGAAGAGGGAGGAACCATGAAACCACAGACCGTCCGCCAGTGCACAGCGAGCAGCCTGTCCTGCGGGGGGGGGGGGGGGCTGGGGTCCAGTCCACAGGGACTCCGTGGGTCCCCCCCCATCTGACTTCCGCCACAGCACCCACTATGGTCAGGCCCCTCTCCCTGGAAAGCCACGAAGCCCAGAAACACAGTCCCCTCCAGGGCGCCTGAGGCCTCAGATCACGTGTAGCCTTATTTCCCATCCCGATTTAGAGATCTCAGGGGAGGCCACACACTGAGTCGCTTTCTCCCCTCCACTCCCCAGGGGTCCCTCTGCCACCCCTCCCCCATCAGTCAGCACAGGAGGCGGGCGCTCCCCGCGTGGATATCAAGTGCTAGGAGCAGGGAGGGAGGAATCATGGGACCTGCAGTGTGGGTTATGTAACCAGAGGATGGGCGTGTCAGCCAGCAGAAAGCGGTGGAAACCCACGCTGGGAGCGAGGGGTAGGAGAGCCTGTCAGGGGAGCAGTAAATAATCTGGTTTCATTTTAGTCCCTCCGGGCTGAGCCGCCAGTGAGCAGAGTTGGGAAATAGCATCAGGTTTGTTTGGGGAACCTCTTACCGCGTTCCTCGTCCCTGCAATGAACCTCTGCTCAGAGATGTCCCCTCTCACCCCCATCCCCACCAACCACCACTCCCGTCCTTCACACACTGAGACAGAGTTTATGGAGAAGGCTTAGCAGAGTGGCGCCTTTTCTTACGGGTGACGCCATTTTCACAGAAATCAGCACTTTCCACCAAAAGGATTCGCTTCCAGGAGGAGGAATCGCTCTCACAGCTTTCTGACACAGGAGCCTATTGCTTTCCAGGACCCCTGAGGTCACACCCCAGGGTGGGAGCCCACCCACTGCTATGGAGAGCTGGCCCCTCTGTGAGTGAATGAGTGACGAGACCCCCATGAGAAGGGGACTGGGTCTCTAAGTGCCAGTGTCCTACCTAATGTCCACCCCCCACAGCTTCCTGCGGCAGCTCGCGGGGTGAAGGGAAAGGGGGTCGCCTGCACATCAGAGAACCCCCTGCTGCGGTGCGGCTCTGGGGCCTCTGTGGCGGGGCGGGGTAGCCAGAGCAGCCTGTGATGCCAAGCCCTGAGCCTGCTCCCTGAGAACGGGCAGAGCGGGACAGGCCCTCGTGTGTCAGCCCCCGCCAGGCACCTCCTTTGTCCCCCCCGCCCGAGTCAGTGCCAGTGTCCAGGGAATCTGTCCCAGGCAGAGCTCAGGCTGTCTTGGGCATCCATCCTCACCTTCCATATTTGGCAGCTGTGGATTCTGACCACTGGCTGGAAGCGGTGATGTCCTCATCTGGAATGCGGCCTCCTGACATGCCCAGGGGGTAGCGGCATATGTCTGGACCAAGAGAAGCCAAAGAGAGGAAATCCTTTATTTTTATTTCCAGAGACCCACAGGAAGAATGTAATTTATTACTGGACATGGAAAAGTCGACTCACATCTTCCTAAGTCCCTCTACGGCCCCAGTTTGGTCACCACGCCTCTCTCAGCCTCTTCTCCCTGGCCCCGCCTCCAAACTTATTACCACTCGGCTGTTCCAGCACGGACCCTCGGCCAAACCTACCTTTCGGTCCAGACTCGGCCAAGCACCGTAACGTGATGCATGGCGCTGGTTTTCCCTTTTATTCAGCGATGACCCCTTGGGGCATCCCCACCCCCTCACTGGCAGGTGTGCTCTTCTGACCAGTTTCCCAACAACAGCGGTGATGATCCTCACAGTCAGCAGGCACCCCCTGTGACCCAGAACATTCTGACTTCATGAAACGATGGAGCAAACCAACAGGCTCGGCTATGAAGGTGCTGAACACACGGCTTTGCCCCCGCCTCCAACCCTCCCCTCCCCACATCACGTTTCAGCCCCTGGCGAAACACAGTAACCTCGCGAGAGGGACTTCCACTCCCACCCAAGGCAGAAGAGCAGGAACTAGATTTATTCTCCTGGGTGAAACAACCAAAAAAAAAGACAAAGCATATGAAAGATTGGGTTTCAACAAAATGAACATCAGACAACAAAGGACAGCGGCCCCTCAGAGAAGGGAACCAAACACGATGAGCCCCACGACTGCACCAGCTTCCTGCCCGGAGAGTGTCTGCGTTGCAGCAGGACGAGTGGGGACAGGCGGAGGTGGGGGCACTTCCTGAGTTGAGGGGACAAAGGGTAGAGCTGGAGACAGCAAGGAGGCGAGCGCGCTCGGGGCACAGGGTCGCCAGATACAATACAGGATTCCCAGCCCAACTTAAATTTCAGATAAACAATAAGTAATTTTTTAGTATAATAATGTCCCATGCAATTAAAAAACAGGCATGTAAAGAAGCAGAGAAATAGAATCTATAATGAGGAAAAAACACTGATTCAGAGCTAACACAGAAGCTAGAATTGGAGAAGAACATTAAAAGAGGTATAACTGTATAGTATGTGTTCAAAACTATAAGGAGAACTATAGACAACATAGGAAATATGTAAATCAAATTTCCAGAGAGGAAACTTGAATGTGGGCGATCAAACACAATGGATGGATTAAAGGCAGATTACACACTGAAGAAATGACTTGTGAACTTAAAGACATCAACAGAAAGTATCCAAAATGAAACAAGACAGAAAATCAATCAACAAACAAAATCTAGACATCAGTAAGATGTGGAACAATTTCAAACCTCCTACTATATATGCAAATGGATTCCTTGAAGAAGAGGTGGGAGGAAGACAGAAAATTATTTGAATAAAATATGATGAAAATGTTTTCAAATTTGATCAAAATTTTAAATCCAAGAAGCTCTCTGACCTAAAGCACAAGAAACGTGAAGAAAATTACACTACAGCATACCATAATCCAATTGCTTAAAACAGGTGACAAAGAGAAACTTTTTAAAGCAGCCAGAGAAAAGAAACACAGAGGGGGCCAAGAAAAGATGACAGCAAATTTCCCACTCAGAATGGTGATTACATGGTAAATAGATAAGGCCTGTTATTTATATCTCTCTAAGTAGTTACTGACTATCTAAACAAAAATACCATATTGTGGGGTTTACAACATTTACAAACGTAAAATGCATGACAACAATAGCATAAAGGCTTAAAGGAGAAAAACGGAAGTTATCCTGTTGAAAGCTTCTTGTACTCCATGAAGGTATGTAAGAACCCTTGAAGACAGACTTTATTTAGTTAGAGATGTACACTGCAAACCCTAAGCAAGCAGTAAAATAATGTTTTTAAAAAGACATAACTAATAAGTCAAGAAGAGATCAAACAAAATCATAAAAAATTCAATTACTTGAAAAGAAGGCATAAAAAAGGTAACAAAGAACATAGGACAAATAGAAAATGAATATCAAAAATACAGATTTAAAATTAACCATATAAATACTGCCATTAAATATGCCCATTAAATACTCGTATAAATGGTCTAAATCCCTAATTACAAAGTAGAGATTGTCATATTGGATTTTAAAAATCATATAGTTTAAAAGATTAAACTACATATTGCCTACAAGAAATACACTTTAAATATAAAAATATAGATAAGTGACAGGTAAAAGGGTGGAAAAGTATATCCATGAAAAAAGAAAGCTGGAGTGGTTATATTAACACCAGACAAAAGATTTCAAGACAAGGAATAAAGATGGTATTTCCTAACGATAAAGAAGTTAGTTAAGAACACAACAGTCCTAAATATTTATGCCCTAATAACAGAGCTGCACAACAAATGAAGCAAAAAAAAAAAACCCACAAAGATTACAGGGAAAAATGCACAACCCCACAATTATAGTTGGAGATTTCAACTATACATCAATTAACTTCTTTCCAAAGAAAACATACCAATGACCAATAGGAACATGGAAAAAATGCTCAACATCACTAGTCATCAGGGAAATGCAAATCAAAACGACAGTGAGATGTGACCTCGCACCTGTTAGAACGGCTGGTATAAAAAAGACAAGAAATAACAAATATTGACGAGGCTGTGGAGAAAAGGGAACCCTCGTGCACTGTTGGTGGGATTGCAGATTGGTGCAGCCTATATGGAAAACAGTACAGAGGTTCCTCAAAATAATTAAAGACAGAACTACCTCATGACCCAGCAATTCCACTTCTGGGTGTTTATTCTAAGAAAATGAAAACCCTAACTCAAAAAGACATGCACCCCCATGTTCACTGTAGCATTATTCACAATAGTGAAGATATGGAAGCAGCCTAAGTGCTCATCAACAGACGACTGGATAAAGACGATGCGGTCCATATATATATATATTTGTATATATATATACACAGTGGAGTATTACTCAGCCATAGAAAAGAATGAAATCTTACCATCTGCAACAACATGGACGGACCTAGAGGGTACTGGGCCAAGTGAAGCAAGTCAGACAGAGAAATACTTAAATATCGTACAATCTCACGTATATGTGTTACCTAAAAATAAATAACCAAGCTCACAGATACAGAGAACAGGGCGGAGGTTGCCGAAGGCGGGGGTTGGGGGATGGAGGAAAGGGGGAGGGGTCAAAAGGCACAAACTCCTAGTTATAAAATAAACGAGTCCCGACGATGGAGACTGTACTTAATACCATCTTCCATATTTGCAAGTTGCGAAGAGAGTAGATCTTAAAAGTTCTCACCACAAGAAAAAAATGTTTCTAACTACATATGGTGATGGATGTTAGACTTATTGTGATGATCACTTCACAATATATAGAGACTCATTATGCTGTACACATGAAACTAATGTACATGTCAATTACACCTCAATGAAAACTACCCCCCGTGTTGGGATTTCCAGCTAGAGCAACAATGCAGGAGAAATGATACCTGCAGAGCAGCCCCGGACACCCAGGGGCCCGGGGCAAGGGCCTGGGAAGTGGCCGTGCTGGGCTTGGATGGCCTTTCTTCCTGGTAGGTCTTTGGCACCAGGACCAGCCTTGGCGCAGGGCGCCCAGCGTGGCACTTCTCAGCAGTGCCAGGGCGGTTTTCCTCCTGAACACGCCTATTTTGGGTAAACTCCTCTGTGGAAGGGATCCCAGCCAACAGCGACGATTGAGCTGCCAAGTCCTGTGTGCCGGCCGCTCGCCCCACCAGCCCCCAGTCACCGGTCCTGAGCCATCGGTCTGTCTGCAGGAACCACCTCATGCGACACCAGGAAGCACGAAAAGGCAGACGTAGCTGGGGACGCAGGACACGCTGTGAGAACAAGTGTGTCCTGACTTCGCTGCCGAGCCGTTGTGGGGGCTTCCTGACACCCCCCCACACCCCACCAACCCCCTGGACAGACATGCCGACTCTTGCTTCCATATTCCCAGAGTGGAAAAGTACCAGGCTGGCTGCCTCTGCCTGGCAGGGGCACCCGTAGGCCTGGCAGGCACCTGAGGACGAGCAGCTGCCACCAGCCCAGCTTTCCGAGAGCCGCGTTCACAGGACACAGCCCAGGCGGAGAGCCTGAAAGGGCTGCTTGTCCCATGCTGCTCACCGCCTGGCTGCCAACTCCAGGCCACGGCTCACCGTCAACGAGCGTCCCCCATGCGGCCCCCAGGAGAACGCAGCGGGACACGTGAGGCCTGAGGCACCGAGGGCCGACACCTGGGCTCTCTGGGCACAGGGGAGATGAGGCTGAGCAGGAGGAGACCCACAGCAGTTCCCTGGTCTAGGAGCGCCGCTCCTAAGACCTCAGAGCCACGAGGAGACACCCCTGCAGTGACCCATGTTAAACATCAGAACCTCTGCGGCCCGGAAAGGTGAGTTACTCGAGGACACACAGCTGACTCGTGTATTGGGATCCAGGCCTCCTGACTGACCCCCAGTTCCCTTCTCCAACCCCAGCTACCATGATCTAGCCCTTCCCAATCCAGAACGGACAAGACGGTCCCATTAAAGAAGCTGAAACGGGGCCGTGCCCCACAAGACCCACCTCGCAGGCTGTCACCCTGGCCCCCTGCTCCGGGACATCTCTGCATCATGGGACCTGCTGACCCAAGGAGGGTCACGTGGCTTCCCCCAGGAACAGTGAGGCTGTGTGGCCAAGGCCTCTTTTGCCCAAGTCGAAATCGCCTTAGAAACTGGCCTTTAGAATTCGTTTTCCTATAAGTGCCCAATACTCTGCAGAGACAATGACTGCCGAGCTCCGGAAAAGGGGTCTCAGGGTCCCGAGGTGAGAGCCAGACAACATGCATCCTTCTTCTTGGTCCACAAAAGTCAGGGAAGGCTTCCCCTAAAGCCCTCGACCTTTCCTCCAACAAGCACGGAAGCGGAGGCGGCTAAGCGGCTGCGAAGGTGGGGAGCTGAGAAGACGGGGACACAGCTTTAACCACAACAGATCTGTGCTGAACACTCGGTCCTGCCACTCCCA